CTGAAATCGGAATTAATATTACTGTCCATACCCTGCGAATATAGCCGTCTGTCTTAGCTCTCTCCAGCATTCCCTATCAGAGGGACCGCTGGGCGAAGGAACGAGGAGAGACGGTTGCATTTGCAGGCTACACTGTCTCGGAATAACTTTAATAAGAGATAAGTTATTTTCATTAAAACCTGTTAGAGAATCGCAGGTATCAAAAAAACATGCCAGTTGGTCTCTACTAAAACGATTACACTTCTCGTTCTCGTTTGCTAGGAGTCAAATAATCAACTTGGTCCAACTTCGTATCTCGTTTACTATTGACTCGACCAAGAAACTTGAATTAGTCTAATTGTTTTAATATCAAACCACGTCGCACATGTTTTTTTTTTCTTTTTTTGTTTGTTTGTTTAACCTTTACCGACAGGATGCATCCCGCATAAATTCAATATTTATGTTTGGGATCTGTTTACCAAAGCACATTAAGGTGTTTAGATATAGTTTTTCAGAAGCAAAACCGATATTTTTCAAACGCTCTAAAAGTGATTTTATCCTTGTCGGATCACTACAAAATTTTCGCCAATGATTGACTATAGATTGAAATTTGTCAAAATGTAGGTTTTACTACAATCGATATTACCATGACAGCAATAAACAAAACACTTTTGTAATTGATAAACGCCTAATTTTGCGCGATCTAGACCAGCTACTGAAAATCCAACACTAGGAACTTTAAGTTTGGTATTTAGCAAATCACCTCCGTAAGAAGTAAGAAATTCTGTATGCTCGAATTCGACTAAAACAAAAATATATTTCAAACCTTAAATTTTCCATAGCCGTGATAGATTATTTAATAAAAACGTTATAAATGACTCAAATTATTCTTAAGTAACGTCAGAATGCTGCTTAATATCATATGTCGATGCTAGGAAATTTTGGTGCATTTTCGTTCTTGCGATCTTAAAAACTAACCCGTTTTCTCACCACCTGTCTAAGAGCAACTTCATTCAGAATTTGGACTTTTAGCGCTTTTTTGTATATCTCTGAAACGACTCGAACGAATTTTTTTAAATCTCTTGAGATAATCTTCATAATGTTTATAATAATGTCTAAAACTTTCATTAAGATTGATTCACTGCAACACCTCGAAATTTCAAGACAAATCTATCCTACGAACCGGTCAAAAATCTGCCCTACAAGATTCACTGTTTTGACGTTATGCTAGTTTTTCCAAATTAATCTGGACAATACATATAGCCATGACTAGTACATTTCAGTGTGAGTATTGTTAATGTTTTACATTCGAAAAATGCAATAATTCAAAGTAAAATGTACTAGTCATGGAGGTATGTATAGTGCGCGTTATTTTGGAAAAATTATGCATCAGTCAATTCCACCTGCGCCCAGCTCCCCCGGGCTACTGCGGGGCATTTGCCCGCCTTGTCAGTCCCGGGGGGGGGGCATTTGCAAATTTTGCACTGCCCGGGGGCCGGACATTTGCCAACCCCCGGGCCATTCTCGAGCTTTTGACACGCACGCAGTTTCCTATCAGAATAATATATAGATTTAGCCAGGGCTAAAAGCGAAGCTCTGGTTAATAATACGTGTAAACAAAAAAAATTAAATCGTGTAACGCTAAACGGGGGACGAGAATGAAAATGGCTTCAAGAGTAATAGATCTAATTAGGAAAAAAACAAATTGCACGTGCAGCACACTTTTTCTTCTAATTAGCAAAAAGCAAATTTGCACGTGCAGCACGCTTTTCTGTCTTTCCCTTGCCGTTGTTTTGCACGACTACAACACTGTTTTGTACGAGTAAAACGTCAAACTTCCTAGTTACACACTATTTTTATGGAGAAATTGTCGTATGTGCCTACCCAATATTTTGTTTCCAGTGTTCATGTTCGCTTTTATTTTTCGCTGCCGCTCATTTTCACCTTGCTGGCCGCTAGCATTTCTCATTTTCTCACCGCCGCTTTGAATTTCCATGTTTTTCTTCCAACGAATTTTCATTAACTCGCTCTAGCTTTTTCTCTGTTATCCACGTTAGTGTACACATAAAAAATAACGCCGAAAAAGACACGACTTTTTTCTTTCTAAAAGTCCGTTCGGCCATGTGATTTCCTTACAAATAAAACCTTGAGTTGCATTTGGGTTCCCATACCTGTTGATTGAGTTATTTTACATTGGTATCCCTGTGGTGCGGACGGACGGTCGTACGGTCACGTGATTACCAAATTTTCTGGGATGGGTAGATTACCACATTTTCTTAGCTATGGGGCTCCGCCCACGCGCGCGCTTCGCGCGCGGGTGGAGCTCCGCTATAACTACATAGAAGGTTTTACTGGAAAAAAAGCAGATTGGCTCATCTGTCAAGGACAGGAATAAATGGTAGAGGTTTGTAAAGGCATGTTCTCGATTTTACATGTATGTATGCATATCAAGCCAGAATTACATGGCGAAATTGAAGCCAGGCGGTGTGCGTCACGAGATTCGACCAATCAGAATGCGTCATTTGTAGAGTGATTTTCGCGCTCGGAAAGAGCTGTTTGCAGAGGTATGCGTGGTGAAATTTTCGCTTTATTCCAAGCTTGTGTTGGTAATTTCGACACTATACCGCCGTGGAAAGTTGTTGGAACACTTTATCTTGATAGCAGTTGCGTTACTTTTAATTATTTTGCTTTCTTGAGCGTTTGTGACGAGTTTGAATTGCTCGGTCATGTGCAGGCCGCCATGATGATTTGAGTGTTGTTTTTGCCGTTCTTCTTGGATTTATTGCTGGTTACTGTTAGCGGTTTTATCGAATTATTTTGGCCATCTTGTTACTTCAACCCTTCTTCTTTGCAAATTTCGGGGTCTACCCGGGTTTACCCCTGTTAGTTTTCCAGTTATGAGCCGTTGAAAGTGTCTTGGAATTAAGACATCGTCTCAGCCAAGTGGCGCAACGCCCGGGAAACGGGATGAGAAAACATGCCGAAGCGGAAGCCGATCGCGACGTGAAGCGAGTAACGCCAAATCCAGGAAGAGTTTGTTCTATTTTAAACCACAAAAGGTAAATAAGTTTGAACATTGTAATAACCTTTGGAAACAAAACATTTTTCATAACCCAGTGCGGAAACTGAAAGCGTGACTTTAAAATAATTTGCATGTGGTGTGTACTATCTTTGTGTAAAATTATGTGAGGGAATAAATTGTTATAAATCTCTACCAAAACACAAAACCATTATCGAAGATCCAGACAACATCATACAGGATTTTAAAACTGTGAGGTTTATAGGTTTTACTTTATAACAAAATCGATATACTGCGCTCACCTCAATGACCGCATAGACAAGGTCGTGGTTTATTTCACTGTTTATTTCTGCGGCTGTAGCTTCGGTGAAATTCCGATTGTGCTGCAGCTGTTCTGCTCTTTCGGTCTGTTTTCCCCTTGCCTGATTGAAGATTTATTTGCGCATAAGGATTTCAAACGGGCACTGTTTTCAAAATAATATAAACTTGTCGATGAAAATAAAATTGTTGTGAGAGACGATTTCTCACCTTGCTGTCTGCACGCGCTCCCCTGCTTTGCGGGTAAGAAAGTCCATCAAATATATAAACACTTCTAATGGATGAATTTTTTTTAGCTAAGCAAATCCAGGTATGAACTACAGATCTCTTTCACTATGAGATAAAAACATACATATAAACCAAACAGTACATAAAATCTTATGAGAAGCAGGAAATTAGTCGGGGCTCAAAGTCGGCTAGATCGCACGATCGTCTCCGAATCGCGATAAACTTCTTGAAATTGTCTTGTGAAGCCAATAGCAAGCATCTAAGGCCACTATGAGATCTCGAAAATTCTCGAAATCGCTCTCTTCCGTAATGTTTTTCGGAAAAGGCAGCAGTGTTTTGATCCCTGGGTTTGATTCATTTCCCTTACGAGATGCGAACTCGACCGTGTCACGATTGAAATGAGGCACAGTAACAGTTTTACCCATGAACCTTTGTGGGTCGTGACGCACACCGCCTGAATTGAAGCTATCGATGTGAATCAACGTTTTTTTGGTTATTGAATCAAATTTCTGTTGATATTATTTGAAGAACACCCTTTTATATTTATAAAACTATTCATAACATACTGAACTTTACAGCGCTCTATCAATTTTAATGGCAATAATTTTATATCAATACTAAAACCATAAGTTAGAATCCTCGCCCTATTACAAAGGAAGACGTTAATTGAAACAAAAAATCGCACTTTAAAATGGCACTATTGGACTGTGCGATCAATAAAAAAATGTTGCAGTGTTGACGGAGGACGGTGCATTTGCCCTCTTTTTTCGTCCACACCCCGGGGCATTTGCCAGCTCAAGAGTCCCCACCCCCGGGAATTTGCCATCCAAGGCAAAAAAAATGCTAATTCCCGGGGGTCAGCCCGGGGGGGGGGCTGGGCGCAGGTGGAATTGACTGATGTATTAGCATAACATCAAAACAGTGAATGTTGTAACGCAGATTTTTTACAGGTTCGTAGGATAGGTTTGTCTTGAAATTTTAAGATGTTGCGCTGAATCAATCTCAACGTTTTTGTTAAATAATCTATAACGGCTATTGAAAATTTAAGGTTTGAAATATTTTTTCGTTTTAGTCGCATTCAAACACACAGAATTTTTTACTTCTTACGGAAATTGTTTGCTAAACACCAAACTTTAAGTTCCTAGTGTTGGATCATTTTTCAGCAGCTGGTCTAGATCACACAAAATTCGACTTTTATTAATTTCAAGTTTTTTTGCTTATTGTTGTCATAGTATCGATTTTACTTAAAACTACATTTTCACAAATTTCAATCCATATAGCCAATTACTGGTGAAAATTGTATATTAACGATCGAACAAGGAAAAAACCACTTTTAAGTCGATTGAAATATATCGGTATGGCCTCTGAAAAACTATATCGAAACACTTTAACTTATACTTCACGATCAGTCAAAGCTATTTGATGTTCCGCGGTAATACCTTGTAGCCTTTTTTCTTCATGTTAGTGGAACATTGGTGTCGTTCAGTGTATTCATGTCGAACTGAAGAATTTTCAGGTAATCATACTGGCTAAAGGCACCGTAAAAACGTTTTATAAGAAACTCCAGTGGCCACTCGGTCCCAGACAGCCTATCAAACAGATTCATAGTATTGGAGCCGCGTCCTGTGAGTTTATTCAGCCTCTCTCCGACAAAATCAGAATGACCATAAAGTTCGTCTTCGTCCCGGTGAAATGTAAAATCAAACGACATCCGTTTCCTGTGTAAGTAATTTCTTAAGATATACTCGATGTCTGTACAGATCGTACTGAGGTAAAAATAAGGAATTATTTTCTCAACGTGGCGTGGGTGAGTTTTCATTGCAGTTTTTGCATCCAAAAATGGTCTCAGCTTATGATGTAACGATTTAACACAGGATAAGTATCTGAGTTCAACGTGTCGCATCACCATTAACGCGAGGAGTTTGTCTTGAAACTTTCGTTGTTCCTGATCAGGAGGCTCAAAGAGGCTAAAATGGATTTTTGTAATTTTTAAAAAGTACCGAGTTCCTAGGCTTTGTTCTCTTGAACACCGTTTTATGCTTCTTCGAAATCTCCCCTTACGCTGATACGGAAGCTCTCCAATGGCTTTTTCTAATGCTACCAATAAAAGTAGAGGAGACTGAAGAGAGTCCAAATATTTCTCAGTATCAAAAGAGAAACCAAATGAACAACGAAATGAAGAATTCTCACCATTTTCATACAATTTTGTTAGGGAAGTGATAAAGCGGAATCGTTCGGGCCTCAAACCTAAGGTTAACTTCCCAAACAAACGTCTGTATATTAAATAATATTCGGCATCCTGCTTTGGGTATCGCATCTCCCCTCCATGGCCTTTAATTAACTCGATAACCTGCCTCCAACGATCGTAACGGTAACTTGGGTTATTGTTTTCCACAAATTTTGCCAGGTACATCGGCGTTAATCCGTCCGAATTTGGACAGTTCACGTTTATGGCTGCCGAATCACTTTCTTTTAGCACTAAGCTTATGAACTCTACAAGACCAGAAAACGCTGACAAATGGTAAATACTGATTTCTGGCTTGCTTGAGTCACATAGAATTCTAAATCCCCGATTTTTTAATGCATAGCGAAGAAGTTCAATTGATGTTGCTTCGGCCTCTAATACCCCCATGTAATAGGCTTTAACTTCCTCGTTAACTTCCTTAAATCTGCGAAATTCCCACATGCGCCTTTTATTTCCGGCATAAAGCACAGCGAGTGTTAAGGCGTCATAGCCATGTGGACTTAAAAAAGAATCATTTGCACCATTTGCAAGAAGATATCGAACTGCTATTAGATTGCTTCCTTGCACAGCTCTGTGTAGTGGCGTAAATCCCTCAGCGTCTAAGCAGGAACTCAATACGCTGTGTTTTTTAGGGTGACTTTCAAGAGCTTCAGCGAGAGGCCCATTATACATTTCACAATCCAGGTCATCATGTCCACTGCATTTTTTGACGTAGAAAAAATTATTGTCTTGAATTGTGGGGGTGCGATAACTTAAAAGATGATACACCGAATATCTAAAAGGTATTCCACATTCGATAGGGACAAACTTGACAAACCTTATGAGAACGAGATCTATAAATTTTCCACCGTTTTGAAGGAACGTAATAAGGGGTGTCCGCCCAAGGCTATCTTTACACCTTAAGCTGGCTCCTTTGAGCATCAGCAGCTGAACAATGTAAGGCTGTTGCTTTAGGATTGCCCTGTGCAGCAAGCTTCCGCCTGTTTTCTTGCATTTCCCATACAAGGCGCCGCGATAAAGGAGAAGAAAAACGACCAACTCATGATCACGCAAAGCTCCATATAAATGTTCTATTGTGATCCCTAAATGGAAAGGTGAATGAACTGGTAAATTCCGCGCGTTTTCAACAGCTACTTCCAGCGGTGTCTTACCAAGTATGTCTTTTTTCTCTAGTGATGCGTTCATCTGGAGGAGAACGTTTACAGCGTCAGCTAAACCATTCTGAGCAGCGATATGCAATGTTGTCTGCCCTTTGATATCAACGGCGTCGATGTCGGAACCTGTCAAAAGTAATTTGAGAAGAGTGTCTAGCCAGTGTAAACGGTCAGTACTCTTGATTTGATCTTTCTCTGAAAAAAACCCAGACAAATGACCCGTTCTCTCTATTATAACTGGTGTCGAATTTCCACTCGAAGAGTTATCGTTAAGGTACAGTGTTTGATTCAGATCACTTGATTTAATGTTTCGAATTGAGTAGTGCAGTGCCGTAAGGCCATAATCATCAACAGCCGTCAGGTTTCCCTTCTTGTCAAGTATATAATCAATTACTTCGACAGCTCCACACGCTGCAGCGCTGTGAAGAGGGGTGGATCCATTCGATGTCTTGGCGTTGATGTCGCCCCCAATATTTGGATGAGAAAATATGACAATTAAGTCAGCTTGATTGTGACAAGCAGCCACATGTATGGGTGTCGCTCCAGTACAATCCCGGTCATCAACACGGGCCCCTCTTCTGATGAGGGACATTGCCAGCTGTTGGTAGCCACACCTTGCTGCAAGGTGGAGGGAAGTGTAGCCACAGTGACAGATATCTGCATAATATTCAGCTTGTTCCTCAAAAGTAAGCTCTGTTGCGTCAACTTCTTGCCAATGTTCACACTTGTATCGTATCATCTGCGGTTGCTTTTCAAGCAAAATATGGACTATTTTTATGTGATTTTTTCGAACCGCTTCGTGAAGTGGAGATCTCCCAGAATGATCATAACAATTCAGTGCATTAAGTTCTTCGGAAAGAAGGCGAGAAACAACTTTTTCATGTCCTGACGCAACAGCAGCGTGAAGTGCAGTCTGGCATAACACCAAATGATTGTCGTCATAGATTTGAGACGAGTCTTCTGGAATTTTCTCCAACCAGTAAAAAGAGCCATCACATTTTAGACATTCGTCTTGGACACCAACGTTTAATAGGAAATCCACCACTTTCAACCTATTGTTTGTAGCTGCGTGATGAAGAGCGGTTTGATCTGCAACTGAGCCTGCGTGGTGCAAAATTTTAACAACCTCGAGATGTCCGTTCTCAGCAGCTAACTGAATAGGGGTCAGATTAACATCATTGAGTATCGAGATTTCTGCATTGTTGGCAAGAAGAAAACGAACAACTTTTACGTGACCTCCCTTGGCTGCTGCATGAAGTAAAGAGACGCCAAAGAATTTTGATTTGGCCCGAAAGAATGAGGGAGGTTCACAAAATTTATAGCAACCAAATAGTTTGGCTTCTTTTAAGGCGGTGGTTACATTTTCTCTGTAAACTGCAAAGATTGACTTTGTTTTGTGATTTACGTTGGCACCTTTTTTGACCAACAAAGCCAGATTGTTTACAAGTCCATGCTCTGCTGCCAAAAACGCGGGCGTTATTCCATGGTTATCGACACAATCGATGCAAGTAAAATGCCGTAACAGGAGTTCTAGTACATCTGTAGTGTTGATTGTCGCTGCAAGATGCAATAGTGTTCTGCCGCTACTAAGCGAGTCTGACGACTGATTGACTGCCTCGGAACGAAAATTGGCGAATTCTTTGGTGTATAATTCTTTAAGACCGCCAAAAGCAACGTGCTGAGCCAAAGAAAGGATATGTTTCGACAACTTACTTTTATCTCCGTCTTTAACAAGAGTAAGGTAGTATTCACTGAATATTTTGTGTCCTTTCTTTTTACTTACAAAGAACTCTTCGTTGCTTTCACTTGTCAACCAGTCAGTTAGCGATAAGTGATAAAGTGTGATTGTGTTGTTTTCTCCATATTTTAGAAAGTGACCAAGTTCTTTTAGTCTATTTTTGAAATCGTATTCTTCATCTAGGTCATTCTCTCTTATTCTCAGCACTTCAAATATTCCTTTTTGAGTTAGAGGCTCGAGTGAAGAAACTAATAATTCCAACACATGCCGAGCATATCTAAAGTTCCTTTGTCTAGGATAAAGTCTTTGAAAGTAACTACGGTACAGGTCTTCCAAAGACTTTGGTAAATCATACGTATTTCCTAATTCGTGTTTTGAGTGCTCCCAATGTTTAAGCAACTCTTTAACGAACAGAAAGTTACCTTGACTTTTCCTTAGTAACGCAGCGGCCACTTTTGTTGTGCTTTCAATGCTGTCATCACCGAACCAGATCGTTATGCGACGTAGTAAAGGACTAAGTTGATAGAGTCTTGTCGTCACAAAAATCTCAATGTCCTCTAGATTTCTAGAATCCTCAGGATCAATGACTAAGTTCGCTATTTTTGTTGAATGCACTAAGGCGTCAGATTCATTTCGTGAAGTCACTATAAGCTTTAACCAAGGTGGAAACCGATTAATCTTGTTTTCTAGAAGATAAATTATGCTGTGACTTGTTTCCCCTTGTGAACGACATTCATCTAAGGCATCCACTATGATAAACCAAGTGTGTATCGGTTCATTTTTTAGGTTTCTTAGAGGAGTGATGATAGTTTGTTCAAAACAACCGACCGGATCATGATTCTGGATACAATCCAGATTAAAAGAGCGTTGAATGTAAGAACTATTGGAAACGATATTCCCATACTCGGGCAATCTGCGGGCTATCATTTCCGCTAAATTTCGAACAAACTTTCCTGCCATTTGTGTATTTTTGTCTGAGTACTTACACAAGTGGTAACCGAGGATATGAGCATGAATCGCAGAGCTTGTTGTTCGAGAACAAATAAGCTGAGAGGCCCAGGCGGATTTGCCTGTACCGGGATTTCCTATAATTAGTACTCCGCTAACGCTATCATCCTTAAATGCATCTTCCACATCTCTATACAGCCACTGACGCCCGATAAAGTCCTCAGCGCGTGCTGATATCAAGTATTCTGACATGTTGATATCTTTGGTGTCGAATGGCACTTTAGCGTTCTCTGTAGGACACCCTGGGGAAAAAAACATTAAAAATAATTCTTGTTCTATGAAAGAATCGCAAACTCTTTTAAATAATACGCAAGGCCTGTAGCCGACACATGGGACATGGTAAACTTTGGCTAAGAAACCCACAGGCAGCACGTTACGAGGAAAAGGTGTACTTACCATAGGTGACGCGTGACGTTTATGCTGGACGCGCCAGTGTCGCGTTACAGGCGACAGTTGAAAATAAGAGACTTAGTATGAGAAATAGAAGTACTGAGATCTGCGAACGCTAAATAGTGTTAAATCTGATTTTTCCTTCAATGAAATAAATGAAAAAGACTTACCTGCGATGTATTCCACTGTGTTTCAGTGTCTGCTTGTCGTTTTACTGGTTTCTTTGGCTTTATTGCATAACTACTGTTACTCCCTTCATAAGACGAAGTCAAGGCTAGTCGTTTCGATTTGGCAGGGTCCTGGACCAGTCGCAACAAAAATGCCGTTTTTCGCCGAAATTCAAGTCTGCTGCAAATTTTTTCAGCTCCAATCCAAGAGGGAAACCTCTTTTTCCTCTCTAAGAGATCGGCTCGAAAAAAGCTTTATATTTCCCCCATCAAATTGAACCATTTGTGCCGGACTTCGAGGAACGTCTGGCTTTCGTCCAGTGCCTGTGACCGCTGTTGCGCTTACCAACTAATTTGCATTATGACAATTAGCACTTACACGACGGGTGCAAAGGTGCTAATTGTCATAATGAAAATTAGTTGGTAAGTGCAACATGCTTCAGTAATGGCTGTGCAATAAAGCCACAAAAACCAGTAAAACGACAAGCAGAGACCGAAACACGGTGCAATACATCGCAGGTAAGTCTTTTTTTATTTATTTCATTGAAGGAAGAATTAGATTTAACTTTATTTAGCGTTCGCAGATCTCAGTATTTTATTTCTCATACAAAGTCTCTTGTTTGGGTGGGTAGAAAACGAAGACCTAAGACCTAAAAACGAAGACCCCCTCAAAATCGCTTATAAATATCTAGAAACGGGTATCTCGACCTTAGATGTGTAAGAAACAACAATATCTTCAATTATGCAAAATTTCGACTAGGGTTTCTACACAATCCCCCCGGTGTGTAGAAAACGAAGATCCCCCTCAAAATCACTTGGAAACGGCTGGAAACTGCTTTTAACGACTTCTAGACACTAAAGGGGTGTAAGAAACAACACGACCCCTGACGACTTTCAATTATACAAAATTTCGACCGGGGTCTCCGTTTTCTACATAATCCCCCCTGTGTGTAGAAAACGAAGACCTAAGACCTAAGACCCAAAGACCCCCTCAAAATCACTTGTAAATATCTAGAAACGGGTATCTCAACCTTAGACGTGTAAGAAACAGCAATACCTTCAATTATACAAAATTTTGACCAGGGTCTTCGTCTGAGTTTTCTCCAGAATCATCCTTTGCTGTAAAGTGTTCAACAAAGTCATGCCTTCCGAGGGATCCGTGATCGCCATCAAAATGCCTCATTCCGTGACATTGAATAACCATGTCAATTGTCACTCGGGGGGGTTAATGCCCAGCCTTGTTTCTATCAGCGTCAACATTTTTATCTGAAAAATAAGAGTCTTAATTCTCTACTCTCAGTCACGTCTTTATTACGGACGATAGAAACGCTTCCGAGATTTTATTACGGCCAGTTTGCGAGTGAACCATGCAGAAAACACATTTTGTTTGAATATTCTCTGTTCTTTGAGCCAAGTATTTTGTACGTGAAATCATATTACAACTTCACTCAATAAACTTGTTTTGAAATAACTTTGTACCGAAAAAAACGGTAACCCGTGTAAGTACCTGTTGTCTTGCAAACTGTTAATGAAAATCACACACACCCCTGCCACTTATTTCAGTGTCCTTCGGAAAAGCCCTGCACAGAAGAGAAACGCTTCCCCAATAAAATTCTAGACTCTTCACAGCTCTTGAGTTCTACTTTAAACATCACAGACATCACACAGGAGGGATGTGAGAAACTGAAACAAGTGCAAGCACAAGGGAGCGTTGTGCCAAGGAAAAGAAAGGTCCTGCATCTTCTCGTTATTGAACCCGCTTACTACGGACACTTTCTATGGTCTCCTAAGTGTCTGTATTAACGGGGTTTGACTGTACCACGAGTTTAATGAGTATTATAATGATGAATTCTACAAAGTAAAACTAAAATGAAACAGAAACACTTTCCATAGAAAAGTCAATATGTATTTAATAAAGAAAATATTACATACATTGTAAGATATGGATTTCGGATTTCTTCTGACATTAAATAACCACGTCACTCGGGAGATCTTAATGTTGTCATGGGTTTCATCATCAGGAGCCGTGTTGTTTCTTACACTCCTTTAGTGTCTAGAAGTCGTTAAAAGCAGGTTTAATTTCCAGCCGTTTCCAAGTGATTTTGAGGGGGGTCTTCGTTTTCTACTCACCGGGGAGATTATGTAGAAAACGAAGACCCTGGTCGAAATTTTGTATCGACATTGAAAATGGTCCGGAGCCGTTTTGTTTCTTACACTCCTTTAGCGTCTAGAAGTCGTTAAAAGCAGTTTCCAGCCGTTTCCAAGTGATTTTGAGGGGGGTCTTTGTTTTCTACACACCGGGGGGATTGTGTAGAAAACGAAGACCCTAGTCGAAATTTTGCATAATTGAAGATATTGTTGTTTCTTACACGTCTAAGGTCGAGATACCCGTTTTTAGATATTTATAAGTCATTTTGAGGGGGTCTTCGTTTTCTACCCACCCTCTCTTGTTTGCAACGGTCGCCTGTAACGAGACACCTGCGCGTCTAGCAGAAGTAAATTACTTTACACAGGCACCTTTTTCTCCTAACGTGGGTTTGGGCTGCCTGTCAAAAACCAAGACCCTTCAAATAGGTACTAATTCATTCGCCAGCAGACCTGAAAGCCCTTAACCTAAGAGAGCTCTTTATTGAAGCTATCCTGAGCCTGATGCGGAAAGATGGGAGCTCGGCTATGTACTCGTACTTTAATTTTTAGGATCCAATGCAAAGCTAAAATTATGGCTTGCCCAACTCGTCCCCAGAGCGCTTTTCCCTGGCTTTGGAGGTGGGGCGGGCTTTTTAATAGGCGATAACGCAAGGTGCCGAATTGAAGTCCCTTCTTAATGTGAAAACCAAAAGGGCAGAGCCATGTTCCTCAGCAAGAGATCATAATACGACTATTATGGTCTCTTGACCTCAGTGATACATAGATGCGTGTGCTATAGAGATGACCTCTATAAAGTTTGGTATTTCCGGCACCTAGTGAATCGCCAATAAAAATAAGACAGCCATGCGCGCCAGTGGCGGGTTCGTCTATACTTTGTAACTATTCAGGGGCGCGGGGATGTGTTTTGCAGATATTTATATTTTTGTCTTGTTATTTTATTTTATTTTTTTACTTTTTTTCCGTTTTTTTCATTTGTTCAAGCTAACATTCATCGCCCAACCATTTACCCGTCAATCTCGAGCTCGAAAAACAATACTGGGATATACATTTGAAAACCCAAACAGACCAAACACAGTCTACTTACCGTCTTTGTATGAACTTGGATCGAGAAGGGTCACGCATAAGCTGCACAGCAAAGAGATCTTCAGACAAAGTGTAAGCGGTAGCTTTGATAATGCACAAATGATCTTGATTAAGCTGTTGCATAGGAACAGAGGACCAAATTTGACAAGGTTTACACACGAATTTAATGCTCGTATCTTGTTGTTTACGATATCCAATGATTTTTGCATCTTGCGTAAACGTCTTTCCGAATGGCTTCGAAGTTTCTGGTTACGCTTGGACTCGTTTTCGAGTTCGCTCCGCAGGCGTAAGATACCTCTTTCGGTCATCTCTTTATATTCCTTGAGAACCTTGGCCTCAAAATTGCGTAAGTATGATACACATTTGACTGTCTGCATTTCGCGTAGGGCTTTTTTGACGTCCGGATCGTGAGCTAAGTAGGGATCCTGCAGCAAGTTTTCTATTGATGCAAAGGCGTTGGCTTTGTCAGCTTCGGTCAACTCCAGCTTGGGTACATGTGCCCACTTTTGGTTCCTAATATCGCGGATATCTTTGATCGAAGCTTGAGGAATGGGCCGGAAGTGATCACACCAGTCCATTAGGTTCAAGATCCCTGTGACGTCCATATCTTGCGCGCTCGTTATCACGTGTCCCCCAAGATCCGGGAGGAAAAGCTTGGCTATCTCCCAAGGCCCCTGGACTGGATCCGTCCATTTGGTGGAATCACTTTGTTTCCAGTTTGGCCTGCCTTTATGATGATGACGTTGAAGGACGTTAGCCCACGTGCAGCTGCTCATGTCATGATGTTGATTTGGTCTTCTTCCTGTGACAAAGACACAAGTACAGGGACCAGAAGCTGCAAGTGTTGCACTTACGTTTGTATAGAAAGCCATCATCTCTCTGTTGATAAATGGGCGAAGACCTTGACAAAGCACGGTTGTTAAGGCATGCCCTAGAGCAAGCCAGTTCCTGTACTCTGGTGTAGTGTGCTGGTCTGCTGAAAGTGCTGGTGTAGGAGAGCTTGGTATCGCCATTCCCCTCTTAAGTCCAATTTTACCGCACCACAAAACTTTTTCGGAAAATCTTAACGATCGACAAATATTATCAATAAAGTAACTCCTGTGAATATTGAGAAAAGCAAGCCTGTTGGGTCAAAATGGCTTGATATTAGCCAAGGTTCTTTTTTTTTGCGTTTTTATGTCCGAGACGAAGTCAAGGTCTGAATAACAGTGCAATCAAGAACGAGTATCCAACTATCTTTCGTGAGCTGGCAAGATCAGAACACAGGATCCGCTTTATCTTGCCCTCTCGCGGATTCCGCCATGTATGGGTCAATTGAAACATTCTGTGCGATAGAACAAATGAATTTGTCAAACATAAGGTTCAAAGGGGGCATGGGGAAAAATTATTGTTGCTGGAAATATCTGCATGTTGTAACTGTTAATCACTATCTTAAGTGATATAAATTAAACGACCATTCAATTTACAGGATAGGAAAAAACTTTTTACACTCAAGCTTTCGATTCCATCGCGGAAACTTTATCATGTGATGGATTTGGGCGTTTTGTCACGTGATTTATATGAGGTTACGAGCCCCCCGCGATCCATCGAGACGTTTTGTCACGTGATAAAATGATATAATGTAATCAACGAAGGCTGCTTGGCTTTCATTCGATTAAATAACATGGGAAAAGAAGACGCCCGAGCCGATAGTCGTAAACGGTTAAGGGAAAGCGGCTCACAGACTGACGGGGAAGATGCGTTCGACGAAGCCGACGGCCATTGTCGTGGGGCTTTTGCCAAACTAGATGAAGTCAGTGAAAAGCTCGACAAAGTGCTAACAAGACTCGGCGAGTTAGAGGCTATGCATGATAGAGTGGCAGAATTGGAAAAAGAAAATAAAAGTTTACAAGAAAGCCTGAACACCGCTCAAGCCGACATCGACGACCTAAATTCGTCTTCAACCGCCACGTGTGCAACACTGGAAACCCACGCAAAGAATCTGGAAGATCTCAGTGCTAAAATAAAACATCTTGAGTGCCGCAACATCAAGTTAGAAGCATACACAAGACGTGAAAATCTAAAAGTGTTTAATATTCCAGAAGGAAGAGGTGAGTCAACTTCTGCTGAAGATCAATTGAAAAAAGTGATGCGCGATAAACTTAAGATCCCAGAGGAAGATATCGACCACATCCGTTTCGAACGCGTTCACCGCATCCCTACTAAGAAAAATACCAGTCAAGGACAGAACTCCAAACCTAGGCCTATTATAGCTAAATTTAGCTTCTTTCAAGACAAGGAGTATGTTTGGTCTTTTGTTAAAAACTTGAAAAACACTAACATTTCAATCGCGAATGATTTCCCCCGGGAAATTGATGAGATACAGAAAGCGTTATATCCCATCTTGAAAAAGGCCAAACAGAGAAAGCAAACAGCCTATTTCAAAGTTGATAAGCTAATTATAAACGGGCAAATCTACAGAGGTGAAGAAACAACCAATCTCCCATACTACGGTCTCATTATGGACACAAGAAACAGCGGAAACTAAAGCCAAAGCGGTCACAGCGCGACAGCGCGACAGCACATCAATAGTTAAGTTTAGTTTAAGGTTTATGTGTGTAGTAAGTGTTAAACTATTTAACCCTTCTTGTTTAATTAGAAATGTGAATGCTCTGGAAGCTTCTTACTTGATATGTTACTGTATGTTTTTCTGTAGATTAATAATTTGTTTTAGGGCGAATATTATCGTTTATGTGCACTATATTTTCTTGCACTCTGCTATACCATCGATTTCATTTTCATTTTATATGACTTCTTCTATAATACCACTTCCCCGATTCAGCTCTAATGACCGATCATTCTCTTAATCTACTATCTCTCAATGCGAGGGGACTAAGCAATTTCAGAAAAAGGCGAACGATTTTCACGTGGTGTCGAAAACGAAACTCGGATATAATATTCCTGCAAGAAACTCATTCGACATTGTCAACACAGTTAAAATGGAAAAACGAATGGGGTGCAGAACTTATTTGCTCCCATGGGAGCTCAAACTCTCGAGGTGTTGCAATCTTAATCAAAAAAGGTCTTGATTGCGTTATTCACTCTCAAATTGTAGATACATCGGGGAGGTATATCGTTGTTAAAGCCGCTATCAAAGATAAAATGTATGTTCTTGTAAACATTTATGCACCAAACAAAGACGAAGGCATCATTAAATTCCTCAAAAATGTGTTATCTAAGCTGCAGACGGAAAATTTAGATTCAGAAGAAAATATTGTGATTGGAGGTGATTTCAATTGTCCTCTGAATCCTACACTGGACAAAAAAGGTGGCATAATGACGCCTAGGAAATCTGTGATAAATTTCATCAACGATGTCCAAAGTCAACTAGATCTTGTAGATATATGGAGAGTTAAAAACCCGCAAACTAAAAGTTTTACCTGGAGTCAACGATCTCCGCCGATATTTTGTCGCCTTGATTATTGGTTGATTTGTAACAATTTACATGACTGGGTCAAAGCCACAAATATAATCCCCGCCATCAGAACTGACCATTCTGCTATTTATTTAGAATTTGGGAACGTGGACAAAGAGGCTAAGGGTCCTGGGTTCTGGAAGATGAACACCTCCATATTGGAGGATGATGAGTACATTGATGACCTTACAAAAATGGTACCAATTTGGATCACGGAAGGCCGAAAAGAACTTTCCGACCACCGTAACATCTGGGACTGGATAAAATATAACATAAGAGCTCATGCTATAAAATATTCTAAAAAGAAGGCAAAGGAGAGAAACGAAAGAGGATCAAAACTTGAAAAAGAATATACTGAAGCGAAACAGGTTTTCGAAACGAACCCCAATGATTCGAATGGCAACAATTTAAATGCGGCTAAGGATAAGCTCGAATCATTTTATGATGAAAAAGTCAACGGAATAATAATCCGCGCCAGAGCACGTTGGCATGAACACGGCGAGAAAAGTACCAAATATTTCCTAAACTTGGAAAAAAGAAATCATGTAAAAAAGCATATAAGGAAACTAGTAATCAGCGGCGTCGTAAAGACAGATCCCTATGACATTCTTCAAGAACAAAAACGTTTTTATCGAGAGTTATACACAAGTTCAAATAGTGATGCGGAAAACCGTCAGAACATTGTAAAGTTTCTTGAGAATTTGAATATACCCCAATTAACCGAAGAACAAAAGTTGACCTGCGAAGGCAAAATTTCAGCTGAGGAATGTTACAATATCCTCGAAAGCTTTCAAACCAACAAAACTCCGGGAATGACGGAATTCCTATAGAATTCTACAAAGTGTTCTGGCCTTTAATAAGCGATCCTTTTCTTAAATGCGTGAACGAAAGCTTTGAAAAAGGTGAAATGTCTTGTTCTCAAAAACAAGCGGTAATTACTCTAATAGAAAAAAAGGAAAAGATCGTTCATATATTGAGAACTGGCGTCCAATCTCTCTCGTAAACGTTGACACAAAAATTATGTCTAAAGTGATCGCCACTAGAATTAAAAATGTTCTTCCAAATATTATACACCATAACCAAACTGGATACGTGAAAGACCGATATATCGGCGAAACAATTAGATCAGTTTTCGATATTATGGATTTCACTGCAAAAGAAAGTATTCCAGGACTAATGATATTTATTGATTTTGAAAAGGCATTTGATAGCGTAGAATGGGAATTTCTTCTCTATTGTTTGAAATCCTTCAATTTTGGCCCTAATTTCATCCATTGGGTTCAAACGTTCTACAGAAACATACAAAGCTGTGTGATAAACAACGGACTTTCATCTGAATACTTTAATCTTGAACGTGGGGTACGGCAGGGGGACCCGCTCTCTCCTTACCTCTTTGTAGTTACTATAGAAACATTAGCAATTGCGATTCGACAAAATAAAGATATCAATGGTATCTCTATTGGGAGTGAGGAGACAAAAATTCTTCAATACGCAGATGATATGACAGCAATACTTGCCGACACAAGCTCTGCTACTGCTCTTTTTAGGCTGTTAGATGATTTCAAGATTGTCTCTGGCTTAAAGATTAATTGTTCCAAAACGGAAGCTATGTGGATAGGTTCTTCAAGGAACTGCAAAGCACAGCCTTTTGGAATTGAATGGCCTAACGAACCGATAAAGGCTTTAGGAATTTATTACACGTATGATCAAAAATTGCTTCTTGAAAAGAATTTCATAGAAAGATTAGACAGTATTAAAAACCTGACTAGAATTTGGTCCTCTAGAGGACTTTCTATTTATGGCAAAATTACACTTATCAAATCCCTATTAATCCCGAAATTTGTTTATGTGTCATCTTTAATACCTACCCCAAAAGAATTTGTAAATCAGTTAAACCAGTTATTATTTCAATTCTTATGGAATGGTCGTGATAAAGTCACACGTAGATCGGTGATAAATGAATACTCCAACGGAGGATTAAAGATGATTGATTTTGATAGCATGATAATATCGCTTCGATTGGCATGGCTAAAAAGAATAGCTAGCTCAAATGATGGTACCTGGAAAAGGTATCTGACACATCATCTAGAACGCTTTGGCGGCCTTTTCTTGTTTCATTGCAATTATGATGTTAGTATCCTTCCACTGAATATTTCTCTATTCTATCTAGAATTACTGCAGTGGTGGTCAGAATTTAGAGATACGTTCTCTTCAGAAAAAGACTGGCGTTATATTCTTTGGAATAACAAACAAATACTCATTAATAATAAAACAGTTTATTATAAAAGCTATTTCGAAGCTGGTGTAGTTCACATCAGCGATCTATCCTTTGACTTAAATAACAAAGATTCCTTTTCCTTAGTTTCTAACAAGATTTCTAAAACTAATTTTTTAGTTTGGGCAGGTCTTCGACACTCCATCCCTTCCATTTTAAAAATTTGTACTCATAAATCATCAACAGGTGAACTTTCTCTAAAAATTGACGATAATATATTTGATGTCACAAAGAAGAAATCTAAAGACTATTATACTTTACTTGTAAGCAGAAAGGCTCTCTTT